CCAAGCAGTGGGAGACCAGCAGCAGGTGGGACTTCTTGCCAGCTACAGCCCTGTCCTCTGTGGAAGTGGCCCATGGACTTGCAGCATTTATTAGGCCTACCTGGAGGGGGGGGGGAGCACTTGATGTATATTTCTCATTTCATCTCAACAGTCTGATCAGGTAGGTGCTGCTATTATCTTATCCCCCCGTGTTATAGATGGGGAAACTGAGGCTCAGAGGTTGGCCTGTCTAGGCCATAGATGGCAGGGCTGGGACTCGAGCCTCAGAGCACCTACTCTTTGCACACTCTATAGGAACCCTCCCTCCATCATCCACATGACTTCCCCAGACAAGGACCTGCCTTGTCAGACTGTTAGGCTAGCACTGGCCTGTGACCCAAGCCAGGCCAATCAGAGCCTTTCCCTGAGAATTCCCAGTCTCAGTGTGTCCGGATGGGGATGGGAGGGCTGAGAAAGGCCAGCTGTAGTGAGAAAGACTGAAGCCGAAAGGGAAGAGGTGGGGACAGGGCACCAGGATCCCTTAAAGCCTAGCTTCCCACACTTTGGTTGTTCCACTCTTTTTAGGAATCTGAGAGCCACTGAATCCCCCTTTTCACCTGAGCTACTTGGAGTGGGCTTCTGTTCCTAGCAACCCAGTGTCCAGTAGAAATATCTAGACCTGCACTGTCCAATTGATAGCCACTGGCCACACGTGGCTACTGAACCTTTGAAACATGTCTCGTACAAATGAGGAAATGATTTTTTTACATATTTTTTTAATGTTTATTTAATTTTGAGAGAGAGGGGCGCCTGGGTGGCGCAGTCGATTAAGTGTCCGACTTCAGCCAGGTCATGATCTCGCGGTCTGTGAGTTCGAGCCCCGCGTCAGGCTCTGGGCTGATGGCTCAGAGCCTGGATCCTGTTTCCGATTCTGTGTCTCCCTCTCTCTCTGCCCCTCCCCCGTTCATGCTCTGTCTCTCTCTGTCCCAAAAATAAATAAACGTTGAAAAAAAAATTTAAAAATAATTTTGAGAGAGAGAGAGACAGAGCAGGAGTTGGGGATGAGCAGAGAGAGAGGGAGACACAGAATCTGAAGCAGGCTCCAGGCTCTGAGCTGTCAGCACAGAGACTGATGCGGGGCTCCAGCCCATAAATTGCAAGATCATGACCTGAGCCAAAGATCATGACTGAGCTACCCAGGTGCCCCAAGGAAATGATTTAATTTTATTTTTTTATTTGATTTCAATTAGCTAACATGTAAATTTAAGTAGCTACCTTTGGCCAGTGGCTACCACATGGGAAAGCACAGACCCTGAACATGTCAGTCACCATGGATGGTTCTGTTGGGCATTGTTGGCCAAATCTTGAGGGTTGTTCTGAAGAGCAAAAGAACAGGGGCACTTACAGGGCCTAGCTCAGTGCCCTGTACATGGTGGGCGTCCAGTTGGGGGCAGCCCTGAGACCAGCACAGGTCACACCATAATCACCCAGAAGTGACTCAGAAAACCCTGCTCTCTTATCTCAGAACTGCTCGGATGGAGCCGGGCTTCCAGGCTGAGCTGGGCCTAAGGCTGGCCAGCGGCCTGCAGCTAAGGGGCCCAGCAGAGCCTCCTACTGTCTTCATCGATTTGCGGCCCACGGAGCCATCGGACCTTGGGTCTTCAGAAAGGTACTGGAAGTGGTGACAGCCCTGTTTTGCATTAGCCACGTTGGCCTCAGGAGGAGCAGGGGCTTCGACAGGTGGGATGGTGTGGGACAGCGCCCATGTGGGCTAGTACCAGAGCACTGCTTGGTGGAGAAGTGCTCGTAGCCAGGAGCTGAGCCTGGCCGGCAGTCCCACTTGGTCCCATCAGCAGGGTCTCCCTGCAGGGAGAGCAGAACCCAGGCAGAGCTTAAAGCCAGCAGTCTAGGCTTTGGTACATCGCCCTGGAGTTTGTCCCTCCACCACTTGGCAGGAAACCTCAGTGGTCTTGGGTCAGTTGGGAGGCCTGGGTGGCGTGGGATACAATCTGTGTGAACCCAGGTTTCATCACCTCCAGCTCCAGCTCCTCTGACAGCGAGGAGGAGGAAGAGACAGCGGCTCTTGGAGACCAACAGGGCCCAGCAGAGCAGGAGTGTCATTCCTCCCAGGTGCTACGGTAACCACCAAGGGGCTCCCGCCACCTGGGCATGGTCCATCTCTGCTTTCCACAGCAAGCCCTCAGCCTGGCACGTTTGATGTTTGTGCTTTCAGCTTTGTCTTGCACCCACAGGGCCAGCACGTGTGGGCCTAGGGGTGGTCTGGGAGGTGGCCCGTGGGAGCCCACTTGGGGCCCAGCCTGGGCTGCTGTCCTCCTGACATCACCAAGGATACCTCACTTTGCTCCTGAGAAGGGATTAATACTTTCCTTCTAAAAAATAGCTCTCCAAATTGATTTGGTCCCTACTGCTGATAGCATTGGAAGTGAAAAGAAGTTTCAGGATGGAATAAAGTGATGGCTATTAGCTAGAAAGGAAAAGCCAGGGTGAATTAAGAAGTGCAATGTTAAATTCAGAGAAGTTTCCACTCCCCATCATGCAGAGGCCCCACATGGTGGTCATGGGGCCACTTAGACTTATATGCTGTATCTATAGTTTTTGGAATTGAAAAGCCTGTGGATCCTACTCTGTGGGAATGTCAGAGTCAAAGGCAGTGTTCCCCCTAAAATGGAACATCATTAGGTGTATGGGAAAAAAGAAGAAAAATCTGAGTTGAGAAGCATCACATAGGTTTCTTCCCACAGGCCTTTAACATGCTAACATGCCCTATGACCCAGCAAGGGCTGAGAGGCCAAAATCTTAACTGTCTTGAGAACCAGTGAACATGCTTCTGGAAGCACTCTGGATGGGGGGGGGGGGGGGGGGTCTGGCTCCACTTGGTGTTGAGGTTGCTTGTCATATGTCACAGGGACTATACTGGGAAGAGTCAGCTTCTCCAGCAGCTCAGGGCATTTCGGAAGGGGACAGCTCAGCCCAATCTGCCAGCCACTGAGGGTCCCGGTGGCCAGAAGGCTCAAGTCCTTGAAGATACAGCCAGCTCCAGAACTAGGAGGAAGCAACATGTGACACACCGGGCTGAGAAGCAGAGCACCCAGACCAGGTGCTGCCCCAGGGCGCTGGAGGACCCTCTTGGGCCAGGGACAGCCAAGGAGGCCCGGGTGCCTCCTCTGGGCCAGCTGTAGTTGCCTCCAGGACTGGGTCTGAGAAGGAGCTTGGCGGGATGATTCGACTGTCCATCGACATACCCGGGCCCTGGTGGTCCCCTGGCTCTCCCGTGTTTCCATGAGAATGTGCTTATGTAGCCCAGGGACCCTCTGACTGGGGGGCTGTCACCCAGACCTCTTAAAATGTGGTGTGATCATTCTATGCCCTCAGAGCAAAGATGCTAAATTTGTACACAGAGAGTGACGACAGCTCCTTTGAAAAGCGTCTGGAGGGAGACTCCGCAGACGGTAGTCTGTGCGGACGGAGGGGCTGTCCAGCGTGTTCACTGCTCCTGCAGTCTTCTCTTTAAGGTGCATCTGTTGTTTTCCATCATAGGAGGTCTTTTTTAAAACTAAAACTGCAATAAAACATATTTAGAGAATTTCAAGGTTGAAAGGGTCTTTGAAGAGAATTTAGCCTGATCTTGAGTCCCTGGATGCTTGCTATTTTATGTGCTTGCATTAACATACCACACCCCCCCTCACACACACACACACCAAATGGACTTTTTGATAAAGGGGTGAAGACTGGACTGTTTTTTTCTTTAACCAAGATACAAAGGCACACATCTGTCCTAGGGTCCTTCCTGACTTCGGGTGGGGCTGACCTTTATGTGGAGATAGAGTACTGAGTGTCCTAACACCCAAACTGTCCCCATGGAACAGAGCGGGGCCCCACCTCGTGGGCGACGTCCTTCCCTGTTACTTTGCAGACGTTATCCTCCACTGTCCTCCTTATTCAGTCATTTCTTCCGGTTCTCAGCCCTGCAGCCCCCAATAGGCTGCAGCCCTGATCTCTGGCACCTCTCTTCTCTCACCAACTTGTTTCCAGGATTCTGTCTCTGCCCCTGCTCCCTGGTAAGAGCAGTCACCTCGAGTCTCTCCACATCACAGGCTCAGCAGCTTGGCAGGGTCCTTAGCATTTAAGAATGTATTCCAGCATTCAGCTGGGGTCATCACTTGCTGCAGGTGTTGAGGCTGGCCAATGGTCTCTTGTCATCAAGCCCTGCCCTAGGCAAGGCAGGCTCTGCCTGGCCTCAGCCACAGATAGCCAAGATCGGGGCCACAGACCCCACTTGACGTGGCCCAATGACAAGGGGCCAGGTGCAAGACAGGTTCCACCAAGGCCACAGGAGGCCCCAGGTGGGCCTACCTGCAGGGAAGGTGGCCAGGCTGCGTCACCTGCGCTCCTGGCTCTTCGCACATCCACGGAGACCCCTCACGCTCTGCTCTAGGACACATGCAGTGTGGTCGGGGCTCCGCCACAGAAACCCAAATGTGACACACCTCCACCCATGTGGCCTGTCAAGTGCAATGGCCAGCTTTCCCCCCATCTCTATCCCTTTCAAATGCCAGAAATTTGGGATGCTTCACAGTGACAGAAAATAACTTCTTCGTTCCAAGTTCAACTCAGTGAACCACCAGTAAGGCAAGTCAAGAAGATGACGTGGTAGACCCGAGCTCAAAACCAGTTTTGCCACCTGAACAAGGTGCTAAAAGCATTCAGGACCTCAGTTTCCCATCTGTAAAAGGAGAGGCACAAAAGCCGTATGTCTCAGGGTTGCTTGAGAGAATGTTCTGGAAGAGGCACCAACAGGCCCAGGTCCCAGGCGAGGAAGCAGGCGGCCACCTGTGGCACCAGCCTGGACACGACAGTAGTGAGCCTGCAGACTCGCAGCTACTTAGGGAAGCTGGGTTACCGGCAGTGCTGGAGCTCTGGAAGCTGGCCTAGAAGGTAAACACCATGCTTAAACTGAGTGGCCCCCTTCTCTAAAGAACACATAGGGCAGAGCACACGAGGCCAGAAGGACCCGCTTTGTTTATTAGGGAAACAGAGAGTAGGTCATGCACCCTGGAACCTGGGTTATGCTGGAAGGTGAAAATATATACAGTTATTGGGTGACAAATAGAATGGAGCACAGCCTGAGGTCCAAGGCCACCCAGCCATGGGAAACTGCCATACTCCCTGCGTGGAATGTTCCGGAACCCAGTGGTTTCAGCAGCTGCCCCCAAGACTTCAGTGATGACTAAATGGAACAAGTACTCTATACTGTTCCCCTCAGCCACCCAGGAGATAGTGGATGTGCACAGATCAGAAGCATGTCCACCGCAGAGGGACAAAGTGGGGCAACCAACGCTGCCTCTGTCCTGGCCACTTGGGGATGGAGCAAAGGCGGCCCTGGCTCCTGCTGGGGGGACAGATGTCAGTCATCTCCACAGGCATCCTCACATGCCTGCGGAGGTCGGAAGATGGGCTATCAGGGAAGTGTACTCACATGAGTCATCTGTCCTTTAGAACAGCTGTGGCTCTAGGCAGGTGACCCCCAACTCATCCCACTGCCCGCTGACACCACTGGGATACGGAACAAGTCCCCACAGGCTATGTTTTGAAAATGTGGCAAGGCTGGAGGGGAAAGGGGGGAGACCAGGGAAGGCTGGGGTATGTTAATGCAGTAAGGAATGGGAGCCACTGAGGTTTCCCTGAAGTGGACAGATGAGTGTCCCCCAACTTCATGTCCATCCAGAACCTCAGAATGTGCCCTGATTTGGAAACAGGGTCTTTGCAGATGTAATTAGTTAAGATGCTGTCATTCAGGATTAGGCGCCCTAAATGGAATGACTGTGCCCTTACAAGAGGACACCAGAGACACGGGAGAGGCAGAGATGGGAGTGTTGTGGCCACAAGCCAAGGACACCAGGAACACCAGCAACAGCAGAAGCCAGGAGAGAGGCCTGGGATGGTCTCTCCGTCCGGGCCTCCAGAAGGAGGCAGCCTTGCCTACATCTTGGTTTTGGACTTCTGGCCTCCTGAACTGTGACAGTCTGTCCCTGTGGTGTTGAGCCACCCGGGTCGTGGCCATTTGTACAGCAGCCCCAGGACCCACGTACACCCGGCTTGGTATCTAGCCGTCACTGCCGAAACTCCGTGTCCAGATTCCTCCCTGGGCCTGAGCACCTGAAATGTCCCACCGCCACAAGCTGGACCCACACCAGGGGCAAATGGGATCAGTGTGAAATGCCTTAAGGTTAGGATTTTGGTTCCAAAACAGAAACAGCTCCAGCAGCTTCATGAACTGTGACCTCGAAATTCTGAAACGGATCCCGGAAATGGACAGTTCAATGAGTGGCGGCCAGGCTTTGGCCCAGGGGCCTCCTGGAGCCGTGCTGTGGGGCTCCGCTGGCCTGGGGGGCGCTGCTCTCTGCTGTGGGTCCACTGGTGTTTGTGGAGGTCGGTGCCCCGGCGGAAGCCCCTGCCACAGGCCGGGCACACGAAGGGCTTCTCAGCTGCGTGCGTTCTCCGGTGTGCACTGAAGTGGGAGCTGTTGCTGAAGCGCTTCCCACACTCGGCACAGGCGTAGGGCCGCTCGCCAGTGTGTGTCCTGCGGTGGATGACCAGGCTGGAGCTCTGGCTGAAGCGCTTCCCGCACTCCGCGCACGCATAGGGCTTCTCGCCCGTGTGCACCCGCTGGTGCGTGCTGAAGTTGGAGCGGTCACTGAAGCCCTTCCCGCACACCTGACACTTGTAGGGCCGCTCCCCGGTGTGTGTGCGCTGGTGCTTGGTCAAGTGGGACGTCTTACTGAAGCCTTTGCCGCACTCAGGGCACGCGTACGGCTTCTCACTCCGCCGGGGTCCTCCTCTTTCCAGAGACTGCTCAGGCCTGGTCATGCCCCCAACCAGCTCTCGGTCCTGCTCCCTTCTCGTCAGCACGTCCTGCCTGGCGCCCTCTCCATCCTCAAGTTGCAGCCCAAGCCCTGAGACAGAGAAAGCACAGTCCCTGAGGCCTTCGTGGGGCGAGGGGATGCTCCTGATAAGAAAGAAAGCAAAGGCTGGGCGGAGCCTCAGAACACTCAGCAGGAAGTGCTTGTCAGACCCTGGATGGAGATAATTAACCATGGGCAGCAGCTCGTGAAACCCTCACCACGCCAAGGAGGTGGGTGCTGTTATGGCCCCATTTAAGATGAGGAAACTGAGGCACAGGAAGGTTAAAGAACTTACCCAGAGTCACTTGGCTAGTAAGTTACAGGGTGGGCTCTGGAGTCTAGGCTCTTAGCCTCTAAGCCAGGGATTCTAACCCCAGGGGCAATGGTGGCCCTCAGAGGGCACTTGGCAATGTCTGGAGACATTTTTGGTTGTCACAGCCAGGCAGTGGAGTGTTGCTAATGGAATCTAGTGAGTGGAGGCCAGGGGGGCTGGTGAACACCCTATGGCACACAGGATGGCATAACAGAATTATCCAGACCCAATGTCAACAGTGTTTTGGTGTTTAACCGAACAATGGCACCACAGCCAGGCTGAACAACCTCTTGGGTTGGGACACCTGGGTGGCTCAGTCGGTTAAGCATCGGACTCTTGATCTCAGCTCAGGTCATGACCTCATGGTTTGTGAATTCAAGCCCCGCATCAAGGTCTGTGCTGATGGCGTAGAGCCTGCTTGGGATTCTCTCTCTCCTTCTCTCTCTCTCTGCCCCTTCCCCACACTCTCTCCCCACCCTCTCAAAATAAATATACTTAAAAAAAATCCTCTCAGGTTGCTATACTCTCTACTTAACATCTACACTCAGATGTAAGTAAAGCAGACCACCCTCAGTATCAGTAGATGGGCCTCATCTAATCAGCTGAACCCTCAAGAGCAGAACCTGTGGTTTCCCCGAAGAGGAATTCTGCCTGGGTTTCGTGCCAGCTGGCCTGCCCTGCAGACATCAGACTCAGGATTGCAACATCAATTCTCACTTGAATTTCCAGCCTGCAGGACTGCCCTACAGATTTTAGGCTTGCCAGCCTCCACCATCCTATGAGCCAATTCCTTAAAATAAATGCCTTTACTTACACACCACACACACACACACAATTGGTTCTGTTTCTCTGAAGAAATCCAACTGATACCAAACAAGCACCTCAATTCCTTCAAAACCAGACAGTGTTGGGAGATGAGCTGGGGACAGGGCTGGAAAGGAGAAGCTGTGGATGGCCAAGGCCCTGCCAGGAGCAGCTCTACCCACAGGGGTCACGGGTGGCACAGAGGCTAAGTGAAACTGGACGAGCCGTGTGGACGGAGGAACCCAGGACAGCTCTGGGCACTTGCCTGGGATGAGCTGAGCAGCCATACTCTCCCCACTGCAGCTGGGCCTCTGACGGGTCTCTAGCAACCCTGCCTTTGCAGGCTGCACTCAGCTGGGCGCGGAGCAGGCTCTCCAGGGAGTGTGCCCGGCCCATGGAACCAACCTGGTGCGGGGTGTGAGTTCCTAGTTTAACATGCTCCCCAGGGATTCCTTGGGCCACTGCAGTCCAACAACTGCTGGATTGGCTTCTGTAAGTGGTGGAGAGACAGGAACGGTACTGGGCAGGGAGACGGCCTGGGAGATGCCAAGTGGGCCATAGCCAGCCTCAGGAAAGGAGCCACCCTCCCTGAGACTGGCCCACGTCACAGACATGCCACTGATGAGCACGTTACCCCCGCTGTCGGGCAGCACATCCCAGACGCAGCCCCGCTGAGCCGGGTCCAGGCACTCCCACTCCTCCTGGGACAGGTATGCCGCCACGTCCTCCAAGGTCACCGGCACCTGCTGGAGTGCAACCCACTCAGTCCCCTGCCACGGCTCCTTCATGCGGCCGGCCTAGCGGGCTCGCCCACCCCCTCCACCTGTAACACAACGGCAGATCCTGCTTGCCTCCCCCACTGCCTCTCTCCTACACCATCCCTCTCCATATGCGGTCATCCACTCCTGCTCCTCAAGTTCTGCTCACAGAACAGCGGAATCCTGCTAGCTGGGAGGACACCGTCACCACCATGCCATGTCCCACTGCTGCAGGCCCAGAGACACCATGGACAGAGCCACTGTATGGAGCAGCTGGTCCACTGTGCGCTCAGCCACTGGGGCCCATGCTCCTCAGGGGCACAAGTTAGACATGCCTTGCCTCAGGTCGAACCAGCCCTGGGACCCGAGTCAGGTGTCTTGGGAACTTCAGGATGCCTCCAGGCCAGTAGTTCCCAAATCTAGCACCACAGTGACCTGAGGAGCCCATTAAAACCCAAGCAAGCAATGTCTAGAAGAGGCAAATGCACAGAGACAGAAAGAAGACCACCAGGGGCTGGGGAACGGGGGTGGGGAGGGACCACTAACGGGTACCAGGTGTTTTGAAGAGGAGTATGTTTTGAGAACCATCATGGTAGTTGCATAACTCTATACATACACTAAATGTTAAATACTCTAAATGGCCGAGTTGTGTGGTATATGAATTATATCTCAATAAAGCTGTTATTTAAACAAGCTACGGAGGCTCTGATTCCAGGCCAGGGCTGGGGGACGAATCTATATTTTTGCCCAAGGTCCCAAGAATCTAACGCCCAGCTAGGTTTGAAGCAATTGCCCCAGTCCACAACTAAGCCCTGGTATCCTCTGCGACACACCTAATACCCAGATGGCATCAGAGAGAAGACTTCCAGGAGGTAAAAGTAAGGGTAAAGGGGTCATTCCACGAGGAGCACCTCCGAAAGCTGGACCTGGCCATGGAGAAAGTGTCCCTGTAACAAGGGCGTGGGACACACAGGGATGCAGTGGAACACCCACTCACCTGGGACCAGGATGAAACGAAGGATGTGGCCGGTGCCGTCTCCTGATGCTGGGAGGCCACCGGGCCTGGGGAAAGACACAGAGTGGTCAGAGAAGGCCACACAGCCCAGGTGTGGAAACAGTAGCAAAGGCCCAGACAGGGCCAACTACTCTGCACCTACGCTCAGTCCTGGGCAGGAACCTGTCCTTCCCACATGCAGTGGCCCAACCTCCTGTGACAACCTCCTCCCTCTGCTTCCTTTCCCTGCAGGGCTTCCTTCATCCAGAGGGATGGCTACTCACCCCTCTTTGGCCAGAGCTGGGGGCTCCTCTTTGGTGTGTGGCTCAGTTGGGTTGGGGGCTGCTGGCTGGAGCATCCAGACCCTTCCTCCAGAGACAGCTCCTCTGGCTCAGCCTCCACTTGGTGTTTCAAGCACTGTTCTCCTGTCCCGTGGGGCAGTACATCATCAGGGAGCACTTCCAGGCCCTGCATGCAGATGGAGATCTGCCCAGCAGTTCCCAGAAGTTTGGGAGAAAACCCACAAGGTCCCCAACCACTTTTGCCTCAGGCACCCCTGGCCATGCTCCCTTCCCAGGCTCCCAGGCTCCCCCCAGCTGTGCCTCACCACAACCACCCCCGCCGGCTACCTCCCCAGGTCTGCCCCCACAGGCCTCCCCATCGCACAGAGTCCTCCCTCCAGACTGTTCTGGGAGAAGGAATGTGAGCTGGGAAGAGGTCAGGCTCCCAACCTGGACAAACGGAGGCTTGCTCTGCCCCTGAGTGAGACTCCACTGTCTCCCCATCACACTGCACTCTCTCACCCCCCCTTCCTTGGTGTTCCCAACAGACCCTGGACCAGAAAGGCCCTGAATCAGATCTCATTTCAGAAGTTCACACTATAGCAGTGCTACATTTCCTGAAGTCAGTGACAAGTGCTCTGAGACCATCTATGTCCCAATTCCAGAACAGGTGAACACGATCAACTTGGGTCTCAGCGTTTACTGAGCTCTGCAACAGTACTTGGGATAAGAAAACTTTAAAACCAGTGCCAGGGATCCCTGCATCAAGCTCAACATCCCACACTTCTAAGAAGAGACAGTCCCCAGAGGTTATGGGGTGCATAGAGACAGAGGAAAGGCATGCCAAAGAACTAATCCAAGCTGAGCTAAGAGCTATGCAGTAGGACTAACCTAATCTGAGCAAGAAGAATTTGTTAAGACTTCCCTATTACTCCAATTTGGTTACAAGAAGTTGGGAGCGTGCTCTAGAGTCGTGCTGTCCACAGAACTTTCCATGACAACAAAGTGTCCCATATCTTCGCTGTCCAGTACAGTAGCCACTGGCCACGTGTGACAACTGAGCCCTTGAAATGTGGCCAGTGTGACTCAGGAACTACACCTGACATTTTATTTAGTTTTAATTTAAAAAATCACACGTGGGAGCGCCTGGGTGGCTCAGTCGGTTAACCATCCAACTCCCAAGTTTGGTTCCAGTCATGATCTCATAGTTGATGAGATGGAGCCCTGTATCAGGCTGTCAGCTCAGAGAGCCTGGTTGGGATTCTCTCCTCTCCCTCTCTCTCTCTCTCTGTCTCTCCCCTGCTCACACTCCGTCTCTGTCTCTCTCTCAAAAATAAACGTTAAAAAAAAAAAAATCACATGTTACTGGTAGCCACTGCACTGGCCAGCGCAGCTCTGGAGAGGTTGGGGGTGGGGGGGGAGCTCTAACTGGGACACCCACCAACCCCTGCTCTTTCTTCCCAATGCTCCTCTCCTTCTGGAATCTCTTCAACCCCCAGGGCCCTGCCTTGGAAGATCTCCAACCTCTTTCCCATCAAAACCTGTGTAGGACCTATACTGGGGTGATGTGAATGAACCAAACCACACAGTTCAAAGAGAGCTAGTGGGGCTACATGTGCTTAATCGACAGGTTTACACCCATCGGCCAAGGCTGAGAAACACTTTGCAGTTGCCTTCTTTGTTTCACAGGTACAGGCAGCCCCAGGTCCTCCCAATGGCCAAGGCAGGCTGCGGGCTCCACAGCCCAAGGAATCTCCAAATGCAGATCTTAGGAGCAGAGCCCTGAGGTCTTGGGTCCCCATCTCCTCACCTTAGGGCCAAATTGCCCCCCACCTCACCCGCTGCCTCTGCTTCCTGGGCTCCCGCTGCAGCCCTTCCACGAGGACCACGGCCTCCTCACCACTCTCCGGCTGCTGCTCCCGCACCCGGGCCTGGATCTCCCCAGGCAGCACCATCAGGAACTGCTCCAGCACCAGCAGCTCCAGGATCTGCTCTTTGGTGCGCAACTCAGGCCGCAGCCAGCGGCAGCAGAGCTCCCAAAGGCGGCTCAGGGCCTCCCGTGGTCCGGCCACCTCCTGGTAACAAAAGAGCCTGAAGAGCTGGCGGAAGGTCTCAGGGCTGGGGTCTTCCGTCTCCAGGGAAGGCTCCTCTTCCCAGCAGAAATCCTCCTCCACCTTCACGATCAGGATCTCGTCTTGCTCCAGGGGTGGTGGAGGCTGGAGACCAGGTGTGGTCGCCATTGTCTGGGGCAAGTCTTGCTCTTTCTTGTGCCTGAAAGGTCAAATCTGTCTTTCCCTGTACCTCTGGCCAGACACTGGAAGTGATGTTTTCAGGGCTCTGTGAAGAAACAACATAATCATTTGGGGTGCAGCACTGGGGCTAGTTAAGTGTCCACACCCATAAGGCCCTGCCCTAGCCCCAGAGCCAACTCACCCTCATTGGCAAAAGAGCTGAAGTAAATCAAACCGTCCTTGCTTCTAAGCTCCCTGGTAATTCCTAAGCAAGTTACTTAAACTCTCAGGGCATCGATTCCTCGTGCAAAAAGTAGACATGATGATATTTCTACACACAGGCTTTTAAGAGGACTAACCGGGATATTTGCAAAGGGTTTTGAGCACTGACTGGAACGGGGCCAGAGCTTGGGAAGTGCAGTTTGCACTACTACGGTTGGCCCTTTTAGGATGGGGTCCCCTTGGAAATAGAACCAGGGCCCTCCGTGTCCAAGGGGACGCGGGTTCTGTCACGACTTGACCCTCCAATTCGGGCTCGGCAAGCCCTGAAAGCCCGCCGGGTACCCTCGGTGGATGGGTCACCACGGCCCCTCCAACTCCAGGGTCCTGAGAGAGTAGGGACTCCCCGGCCGGGCATGCTTTCCCCGGTTTCGTCCTCGGGTGCAGGGTGAGCGGTGGCCCAGGCCGAGCACAACCCCGGGTTCTGGTGAAGAAGGGCTGCGGGACGGAAGCGGCGTGGGCCGGGACTCCGCGCCCGCACTCACCGGCAGCGCGGCGGGCCGGGCCGGGGGCAGGACCGTGGGCGTGGGGGTGCAGCAGGCGGGCCGGCTAGACCCTAGACCGACAACCTGCACAAAGCGGAAGCCGAGCTACATCCTCTTCCAGCCACGGGCTGAGCCCGCTGTGGTACTAGAGAACGAGGCCGTGTGGGCGGGCCCACCGCAGCACTGTGGGTAATGTAGTCCTCGCGCCATTAGCTGAGCCGGCTGTCGAGGGTGGGAATAAGCCTGGAAGGGCAGGCCCGCGAGATGCATTGTGGACAACGTAGTCCTCGAACCCCTGGCCGACTACCTGTAAGCGCGTGGGAAAGAGACCGCGTGGGCGGGACCACAGGAAGCATTATGGGTATCGTAGTCCTTGCACCTTCAGTGAGTAGGCGGGCGTTTCGAGGTCCCGTAGCTTTTGGGCCATGCTACCCGTGTCGCCTCCATACGCCCTCCCCTAGCCTGAGAAAGGTCCACGGTGGGAGGGGATTTTGTAAATTTACGTTTCTACTTACATAGTACTTTGTATGTACCCGGCTCTGTTTTAAATACTTTGCAATTTATTAACAGTTCATCCTTGAAACAAAGATGGGAGGTAGGTACTATTAGCAATATTTTATAGATGAGGAAAGGAGGCAGAGAGGTTCAGTGACCAGACCAAGGTCACACACACTCAGTAAGTGGAGAGCTGGGGTGAGGTTGGAATCCAGGCATCTGTCCTAGTCCAACTCTTTAATTTTAGAGACTAAGAAGTGAAGACCCAGAAAGTTACTTATTTGGGGCATCTTGGATACCAATGGCTGATTTCTTTTATTTGTTAATTTAATCAACAAATACTGGGCTCTGCTTTGTAACAGGCAGGCACCATGAACAGGAAGTGAACTAGACAAATGGTCCCTGGTGTTGCTGTCCAGACTGGAGAAAACTAAGCCCCTGGCCCTTTAAGCAGGTAAAGGGTCTTGGTGAGGGTAACCTGCCTACCACATGGTAAGTGCTCCATCAGCATTATCGCTGACATAAGGACCAGGCCATTCCTGAGTCCTTTAGTTCTGGCATCCCCAGACCTAGCACCTAACCCCATCCTCCCACTGGCTTTTCTCCCCCTCCTACTCTGCATTCTGTCTCATGTTTCATTTCCCCCCGCTACATCCAGCATCCAGTTTCTATTGTGAGCACACCAAGCGGAACAAGGCACTGGGATGCCTATGACTTATTTCTGGAGACAGCCTCTCCCCGAGTGGGAGGCATCTTTAAAATATTTTTTTTTATCATTTATTCATTTTTGAGAGACAGAACAGAGCATGAGCTGGGGAGGGGCAGAGAGAAAGGGAGCCAAAATCCAAAGCAGGCTCCAGGCTCTGAGCCATCAGCACAGAGCTCAAACACAGGGCTTGAGCTCACTGACTGCGAGATCATGACCTGAGCCCAAGTCAGACGCCCAACCAACTGAGCCACTCAGGCACCCCCCGAGTGGGAGGCATCTTTAAGAGCAGATTACAGGACTGCCTTCAAGACCACCACAGCCTTGTGGTGGGGTCTGAAGAAAGGCAGGAAGATATAGGCCTCAGTTTCTTCTTCAACATGAGGGTGCTGGTCAGGACAGGCGGGGATGTTAAGAATAAACTAACACCAACATGTGGAGCTATTCAGAGAACTGGTACTTAAGTCCAACACAAGAGGCCTGCCAACTGATTTGCTTTGGGAACAGAATGTGCAAAGGGGAACTTTGAATAAGTCACAGGGAGCATATAGCAGGAGAGGAAGAAGACAGAACAGATAAAATGGGAGAGGGAAAAGGAGGAAAACAGAAGAGGCCGGTGGAGAATCTGAGGGACAGTCAGCAAGTTCTGTAGGGCTGACAACCATCACCTAGTTGCAGAACATGCTGGGTTGCATCTAGGGAAGGGGACAGGTGTGGGGACGCCAGCATTTTCAAAGCTGTCCCATGCCTTCTCCTTTCTGACTGCCTCCTGGTTAGCTGTGGGAACCAGGCATCTCCTTCTCAGAGCCGTATGCACAGAAGTTACCAAGTCTATGTAGTGACCCAGGCTCTGGCCTTCTCCTGTCTGGGCAATTTTCAGTGACTACAACCGACAGAGATTAAAAGGACAAATTTCTGCTTTGCTCAGGATTTCACGTTTGCTTGTCTGTTTAGTATTTCGGTCTTAATTCTATTATGGGGGGAGACACAAACAGGCAGCCCCTAACAAATGTGAATCGGGGTGAACTGGGGCCTCCAAAGACGTACACCAAGCCAGTGGTTCGAATCCTGGCTCCACCACTTATCAACAAGGTGTGCCTTGCCTTCCGCACCCGTAAAATGAAGATTGCCACAGCTTCAGCTTCAGGGAGCTGAGAGATGGAATTAGATGAGATTACATTTGTAAAACACCCGTGACAATATCCAGCACGTGACAAATGCTCCTTAGGCATCAGCTCTAGTTTCATGACTTGTAGCTACTCTGAGATGGAGGACGTGGTCTCAGTGCGTGGGTCTCAGATGCCTGGTGCCATGGAGTTCCTGTAAGAGGCCCACGGGGCTACTAAGGTCTCAAGCATTGTTCATGGTCTGAATGAGAAGTATTTATCGTTATACACACATATCACTATATTTATACTTATAAGTGTAGCTTGTTTTCGTAGTGGTTATGGAGTCTACAAGACCGTTTGAGTTAAAATGGCAGCCTCCTACTCACAGAAGTTTGCAAGCAACTGAGCGACCCACACATATGCTTCTCGGAAGACAGAGGGGAAGTTCCCTTCAGACTGATGCCATGGTTCCATCGTCACAGACAAGGCATCGATTCAGCTCACATTTGCTCTTGGTGTTTAACTGTGGCAGGGAAAAGAGGGTTTACAATCAAGCTCTCCAGAAGTTGTCATCTTTGGTAGCAATTTCTCAGTATCCAAATGAGGAAGAAACAAAAATTCAATATACAAGTCAAATAGTTTAGCTAATTTGACTAAATTATCTAAGAGAGTCGTCATGGAGCTACTATGCCCCAAAACTGATATATAATGGGTGTTTTGTTACACTTTTTATAAGGCCTCTATGAGCTAATAATAAAACCTAATGTTTTTAAAGCACTTCCTAAGTCCATGGGATTTTCTTACTGTGCTACTGAAATCCTCACAATGACTCTCTTTTATAGATATCATTATGACCCATGTTTTAGATGAGTAAACTGAGGCTCCGAGAGGTGCAGAACTCTGCCAAGGCCACACACAGGAAAGTGGCAAAGCCAAATCAAACTCCGGCAAGTCCACTCCAGAGCCTGCTGCCCCAACCACTCACCTAAGGCACTCCTGAACGCCAGCCCGGTAATCAGAGCTCCGCCTTGCAATAAATATCTGAGTGATTTCTTGGAAGATTCTGGTTATCCTTAATTTTTTTTTAATTTTTTTTAACATTGATTTATTATTGAGAGATAGAGACAGAGCATGAGCATGGGAGGGGCAGAGAGAGGGGGAGACATAGAATCTGAAGCAGGCTCCAGGCTCTGAGTTGTCAGCACAAAGCCTGATGTGGGGCTCAAACTCACAAACCGCGAAATCATGACCTGAGCCAAAGTCAGACGCTTAACGGAATCAGCCCCCCAGGCGCCCCTGGTTATCCTTTAAAGGATAAGGTTACAGGTTATCCTTTAAAGTGGCTACTTTGTGCCAGAATACCCCCTCTGTTTTTCTAAACATAGTGGGAAAATCTGCTTGGTTCATAGTAGGTGCTCAGTAAATAAATTAATAAATTTATAGGAGCCCGACATGGGGCTCGAACCCACAGACCACGAGATCATGACCTAAGCCGAAGTCAGACGCTCAACCGACTGAGCCACCCAGGCACCCCTGAAACTTTATCTTCTTGTCCCTACAGCCAGCAGGCCAAACAAGAACCAGACAAGTAAGAACAGCCTTGCAAAGCATGACTATTCCTCCGAGAGAGCTGCTCCAGGAGAAAGGAGAAAGGCTGGAGTGTGGAGGAAGGGGGATTCAAGGACCACCAGGCATACTTGGAAATCCTTACTCCCAGGGATGACATCTGCTAGACTCTCCTGTGTGTGGTCAGCTCACGCATCACTCAGAATGGGGTGAAGATTCCACACACTCCTTTTGGGAAACACAGTGTCTCGTCTGCTCAGGCTGCTGTAACAACATACCACAGACTTTTATGTCTTACAGTTCTGAAGGCTGGAAGTCCAAGATTAAGGTGTCAGTGGATTCAGTTCCTGAAGGGAGCTCTCTTCTGGCTTGCAGACTGCTACCTTCTCATTGTGCCCTCACATGGTAGAGACAGTGATCTCCCTCTCTCTCTCTCTTTTAATGTTTATTTATTTTGAGAGCAAGAGAGAAGGATGGGGAGGGGCAGAGAGAGGGAGAGAGAATCCCAAGCAGGTCCTGTGCTGTAAGTGCAGAGCCCGATGTGGGGCTCGAACCTACAAACTGAGATCGTGACTGGAGCCGAAATTAAGAGTCGGATGCTTAACTAAGCCACTCAGGCGCGTTTCTCCCATTTTTCTTAAAACACGTGTCCATCTTGGTCTTCTGTATACCATGTGGGACAGTGACATGGGCATGGAGAACTTCTCCCGACCACAAGAAACAGAGCAGCTCTGGCACAGACAGCTGCTGATGCAAGGCAGTGTCAGGGACATGGGAAGTAGTGGGGGGCGCAGGCCCCATGCTGCCAGCCAGTCTGACTGTTCCTCAGAAGTCTGACATATGGACGTTTAGGTAGAAACTCCTAATTTTGAATGTAGCCTCAAAACCGGCTTTAAGTCCAGTGTGGGGGTCTCCTGGGTGGCTCAGCTGGTTAAACGTCCGATTCTTGACATTGACTGAGGTCATGATCTCACAGTTCATGGATTCAAGCCCTATGATGGGCTCTGCGCTGACAGTGTGGATCCTGCTTGGTTTTCTCTCCCTCTCTGCCTCTCCCCTGCTTACCCTCTCTCTCTCTCAAAATAAATGAACGTTAAAAGAATAAATCCTGTGTGAGATAAATAAAACCCACCAACATGCTTCCAGGTCGAGTCTGGCGCACACAAAGACGTACATACATAGTCGTAGAAAATGATGCAGGTGCTGATAGTGGAGGGGAGAGAGTGATGCAGTTGTTCCTTTAGGTGGAGAATATTTACACAAAAAGACCCTCCATTCACCTGGGCTCCACCAGCATCTCCTTAGCTTCAATATTTTCTTCAACAGCTTTCTCCAAAAGGGCACGAGGCCAAAGCTAAAGGTAGAGAAACAGAGGTAAAATATCTATCTCCCCTCAAAAATCCGTTCAGCCCTACTGAGGGCTGAAGCCAACCATGCAGAGGAGAGCCAGCCTGTGCGAGAAAGAGAGACAGAGGCAGACACAAAGAGGGAGAAAGGCACAGATGAGGAGTGCACTTTCTCAATCACTGTTTAGGAAAAAGTGACTCATGTGTTACACAATGGTATGTAAAGCTTTATCCAGACCAGAGGTACGTGCAGGGACCCCTGCAAGGGGGTGTGCAGTAAGGAAGAGATACTGAGTTCAACTCCAAGTACAACAAGGAAAAGTGGGGCTTTATAGCCAAGGTGGAGGAGGATGGAAAATTAGTAAGAGGAAACATCGAGGGATTCTGACAAAATCAACCTAGTAGGATTCTTCCTGAAGGCAAGCCGGGGTGATCAGACATCACCTGAGGGACGCTGGGGCGTGAAGAACCCAATCAGGTATCAAGGGTTGGGGTATTGGCTAAAGTGACCCTGCTGGATTCTTGCTAAAATTGGGCGATGCATAAATGAATACAGAAGTCCAAAAGCCAAGGCCTTGTTGAGAGTTCAGAGTAACCTAAGTAGAGTTTGGTCGAGGAACCTTTGCCACCACCGCCAGAGTAAACGGATTCTCTCTCTCTCTCTCTCTGACAGACAGGAAGACTGATCTCCAGAAATAGGAAGTGCCCTTTAGGTTTCTAAAGGCACAAGTTGTTCAAGACTGCAAAAGATGCCAAGCGCCCCCGCCCACCGTCTACCTAAGAGATAGAGACCTTCCAGGTCAATGCACAGCCCCAACCCAACTTCCAACCCCAAATATTCCTTGTCCTGTCTGCTTGTTTTTGAAATAATATCAGCCACCAATCTCTGAGCACCTGGCAATACACATTTCTCCGTCTATTCTTAATCTAGTAATAATAGGGGTAGTGTGATCTCTACAGGTAAAACCCCCTGAAGCTCCGAGTTTTAAGTACTGAAACCAAGGAGGGTCACACAGTCAGGAAGTGACAGAAATGAGCCTGAAACCCACGTCTTTGATTCCAGAACCCCAGCCCCGAAGCACCAGGTTAGAGCACTCAGCCCGTAATAATAACCCAGGCTCCCTAAGGTCTGACTCGGCTACTACGCTGGACTCTCTCTCCCCGTCCTCTTCGGCTGAACACACTCTGCCGCGTCTGTCTGCCTGTCTGGGGCGCGCCCGGACCCCTCCGCCCAGAGAAACCAGGAAACGGCGTACGCTCAGGTTCGAACCCCGCCTATGCACTAGTGGCTGCAAAGGCGCTGAGCGCACCGCCCACGCGCAAATAAACGTTGGCGTCGCTGCCAACCGGATTCGCCGTCTCGCGACTCTTTCGCCAAGGATCGCGCGAGGTCTGTGCTTGCCGGAGGCGGAAGTCGCTGACGCCGCAGCCGAAGGGAGGACGAGACTACACGTCCCAGAGTGCCCAGCGCCGCGCTGGAAAGGCAGACGCCTGAGCCCACCCGGCTTACAATGGGGTGCAGCGCGTCTCCCCAGGAGGCGGCTCGGCCAGGGCATCAGAGGGTGGGGCTTCGTCTTCAAGGCGGTGTCGTCTTGGTTGCTGAGGCCGTGCCAGGTCTTGGGGAGTTCTGAGCCTCAGTTAACACATCTGTGAATGGGGACATTAGCCGTTCAAGGTTGTAACAAGTTCAAAACCATTCAACACGTTTTTCAGAGCATGCTGAGTCCTCCCCTGTGCTAGGCGCAGGGGTTACCAGAGTGGTTAGCAGACGCTTATTTTCTTGAAATTCAAATTCTACCAAGAGAAGCCGCTTTGATCTTCATTAGCATGGTGCTCTTTCAGAGGTGTTTGGGTTTTTTGTTTTTTTTTTTAATGTTTATTCATTTTTGGGAGAGACAGAGAGAGCGCGAACGGGGGAGGGGCAGAGAGAGAGGGAGACACAGAATCCCCAACAGGCTCCAGGCTCTGAGCTGTCAGCTCAAACCCACCCACTGTGAGATCATGACCTGAGCCGAAGTCAGGTGCTCAACCGGCAGAGCCACCAAGGCACCCCTAAGAGGTGTTCTTAAGTTCATATGATTGACTTACTAATCCTCCTCGGGTATCTAGAAATCTTACATTCCTTTCTAGAAGGAGAAACGAAAAGCCCTCGCAGGTCACAGAATGGGAGTTAGACCTCTTGCCCAACTCTCAAGCACCGAAGGCTGTAAATAGACACCACTAAATCTGCACAGAAGTAGGAAATATTACAGACCACTGCAGCCCCTCAGTGATGAACAGCCCCTGGTCCCTTTAAAACCCTCTTGGTTGGGGCGCCTGGGTGGCGCAGTCGGTTAAGCGTCCGACTTCAGCCAGGTCACGATCTCGCGGTCCGGGAGTTCGAGCCCCGCGTCGGGCTCTGGGCTGATGGCTCAGAGCCTGGAGCCTGTTTCCGATTCTGTGTCTCCCTCTCTTTCTGCCCCTCCCCCGTTCATGCTCTGTCTCTCTCTGTCCCAAAAATAAATAAAACGTTGAAAAAAAAAATTTAAAACCCTCTTGGCTAGGCAGAAACCAGGGAACTGGCTTTTGGACAAGAGCCACCTTCTCCCCCAGATGGCTGGCCTCCTGAATAAAGCTCATATTCCTTTCCAGTCAATACTCCTCTCTTGAGTGTTGGCCTTTGGAGGGACGGGCAGCTGAAGTTGGGATCTGGTAACAAGAGGCGTACAGTGATGAAATCACTGCACAAGTAAGTTAGTTATATCTTTGGTACATCCTGCCATAGGGTATACAAGTGTACAAGCATACAAGGGTATACATCCTGCCTTTGGGTTCAAGTGATAGTTGAGCAGAGGTGTTAAAGCAGGATGGAATTAACCTAGGGAGTTGGGGGGGAGAGCTCTACACAGAAGGAACCTCAAGTGTGAAGGTCACTAGGCCTGAGAGATTGGGGTGAATTTAAAGGACAGAAAGGGGGGCGCCTGGGTGGCTCAGTCGATTAAGCGTCTGACTTCGGCTCAGGTCATGATCTTGCGGATCATGAGTTTGAGCCCCACGTTGGGCTCTGTGCTCACAGCTCAGAGCTTGGAACCTGCGTCAGATTCT